TAAAAACGTTCCATATTTTTAAATGTAAACACTGTCCAAACCCCCTACCTTTTTCCCAAAGCCTCCTTGTTTATCTGCTATCCTATTTCCGTCTTACTTTAATTTTTTCAAAAATAACTCTACCCTACCTTTACCAGGTATACTCAGCAGACTTATCCCCCCTAATTTTTGCACCTTTTACCCTTTGCCTTTATAAAAGGGAAATATGCTCTCCTGCCAATCCCTAGGTACCTTTACCCTTTCCATACATTTATTAAAAAATTGCACCAACCACCCAAAAAAATATCCCCCACCTGTTTTAACATTTTTTTTCTTTATCCCCTCAATCCGGCTGCCTTCCCCCCTTTTTTTTACCTACTGCCCCCCACGAACTTCCCCCAACTCCAAGGCTCTTCCTCACTCCCACAAGAGTCTTTTCCCCCTTGTCCCATCACGAAATACGCTTCCCATCTTCATCAAAAATTTAACAATTCCTCAAAAATTCCCCCCATTTCCCAAAACCCCTAATCTCCATTTAATAAATCTCCTCTTTATTTTTAACTGACAAATCCATTTGTTCTCTAGGTTTTTTTAACTTGTTAATCTCCCCCCCAAATTTTCTTATTTTCAACAAAATTTGTTGATAACTCTCACCCATTCTCATTTGCTTCTTTTTTTCATTCTTCACCATCCTAACCCCTCTTTTTTCTCCATATACTCTTTCCCTCCTTGCATCACTTCTACTTTGTAAAAAAATTCTCATAACTAACTTTTTCTCCCTTTCTATCTTTTACATCTCATTCCACCAATCGCTCATCTTCCCCCCGCACCCACTTTCCTGTAAACCACAAACTTTTGCTGAACACTCTAACATACATTTTAAACCTACCCCATTTCCTTTCGACCCCATTGCCCAGCCTCATTAAAACCCCTCTATCCTCCATAGCGTTTTATCTTACCTAAGTGCCCCCTCTTTTTGTTTATAAAACCTTCACCTCTCTCTTCCTGATGCTTCTATTTTCCCCCTTTTATCCCCTTACCTTTTTCTCTCAATGTAGCTACAACAGAAAATGATCGAATATCTGTGCCCCCTCTATAAACATGTACTTCCCAAGTTACTCAAAAATCTTTTTTCTACCAATCATAATCCAACAAACTACGTGGACCCCCGCATAAAGATTACCTCCCAATGCAAACCCTTATGTAATGTATTTTGTAAGGCGTTTGTACATGTATGTTTGGGGGTCGAAATGGACTAAATTTCTTCACAAAATTTCTTACGGGAAAAAATTCGGGAGTACTGGCACCAACATATTTTTTTAGTGAAAAAATATCATTAACCGGGGTCCACTGTACTGTCATTTTGCCCTACATCATACTTTTATATTTTTTTATCCTTTTTTCTTAAAATATGTTTACCAAAGCTAAACCCCTTTTTATAAATTCAATAAAGGGCTCCCTTTTTTATTTACACCTGGCCCCCAAACTTACCCACCCCCACCCCCTCTAAAAATTTCTCCTACTTTAGCATTGGTCCCCCACCCCAATTACTCTCTCATTGGTTTTTAAAGGCTCCCATACATTCACTTAACACTCCCCAAAATCTCTCTCTCCCTCTGCATTCCTCTCTTCCCAGGTCATACCCTTATTAGCCCATTCCGCATCCAAACCCTTTTCTTTAACCACATAATTCTTTTTAATTTACACACATATTCTCTTTTTCTCCTTCCAAACTGCATTAACATTACGCTACCCCCTTCCTTTGCCTAACCTCTCAGATACTCCAGATTTAAAACCCCCTTTTTTTCCCCCCCCTGAAACTCCCCTACCCCCTTCACTTTGTTTCGCTTAGGGCCAGACATCCAACTTCTTTTCATTCATAACATCAGCAATCATTTGTTTCTTATCATCCGCACTACATCCACGCACATTTAAGCATCCCAGTTTTATAAAGTTTTTCTTCTTCTCTTTTTTAGTAAATGTCTACAGAGAAGGGGTTACTAGCCCATTGCTCCCGGCATTTTAGTCGCCTCATACGACACGCATGGCTTTACGGAGGAAAGATTCTTTCCACTTCCCCATGGACAATAGAAGAAATAAAGAAGAACAAGAGCTATTTAGAAAAAGGAGAAAAACCTAGATGTATGTATATATATATGCATGTGCATGTCTGTGAAGTGTGACCAAAGTGTAAGTAGGAGTAGCAAGATATCCCTGTTATCTAGCGTGTTTATGAGACAGAAAAAGAAACCAGCAATCCTACCATCATGCAAAACAGTTACAGGTTTCTGTTTCACAGTCATCTGGCAGGACGGTAGTACTTCCCTGGGTGGTTGCTGTCTACCAACTTACTACCTACAGAAATAGAGATGATTTTGACTGGTTTTATTACTGGAAATGGCTTGAAACTGAGCTTAAAGTAGCGGAAATGTTAAATTTTTGCCGATGTTCAAGAGTAAACAAACGACCTCACACGTCTAATACACACCAGCTGGTGGGTCTAATGTATGTTCACAAATTTGATGATATTATTTATACAATTGTTATAATATTGCATAACAGTAAATCTTCTATTTTTTGGTTTGAATAAAAATTCCCTATATGAATAAAAAATCAAAGTGGAATTCATTTGTAAAGTCTGAAAATGTAACTAATGAACAGAGGAAATGTTAGTTTAGTGCCATGATTGCCTGCATTGTTTATTCTAGACCCGGTTTTGAAATTGGAATATTTTGAACTTTGCATTAAATTGGCCAAATTACCAATTTCCGATCACTTTATTTTGTAGTTGAAACAGTTGACTTGGCGATTTCTTGTGCTCATTCAGTAGAACAGAAGTAATACTAGTGAAATAGCTAAGAATTTGATTGACTGGAATAATGTAATTGGCCTAAAATGGGACTCAGTCGGCAAAATCGCCGATGCGTAAATATCGCTGACACATCAAAATTCGTGAGAGCATAATTTCGTTAATTTTCCATCAAATTTCACACTTTTGTTTTATTACTTTCAGAAAAAAATTCTCTGCCATTTCATAAAAAAAAATAACAAAACATTTTTTTTTTTGGAAAATTCTTGGACCCTGGTGCACACTTTGAAATTTGGCCTCTGGACCCTGAAAGGGTTAAACGGAGAGTTAGAGATATCGGGAAGATGGTGGGAATATTTTGAGGAATTGTTAAATGTTGAAGAAGATAGGGATGCTGTGATTTTGTGTATAGGGCAAGGAGGAGTAACATCTTAAAGGAGTGAGGAAGAGCCAGTTGCGAGTGTGGGGGAAGTCCATGAGGCAGTGGGTAGAATGAAAGGAGGTAAAGCAGCTGGGATTAATGGGATAAAGATAGAAATGTTAAAGGCAGGCAAAAATATAGTTTTGGAGTTGTTAGTGATTTGATTTAATAAATGTATGCAGAGAGCATGCATAGTTCCTCTGTATAAAGGCAAAGGGGACAAAGGAGAGTGTAAAAATTATAGGGGTAAAGTCTGGTGAGTATACCTGATAGTGTATCAATGAGTTATTATTGAAAGAATTAAATGTAAGATGGAGAGTAGGATAGCAGATGAACAAGGAGGCTTTAGGAAGGGTAGGGGTTGTGTAGACCAAGTGTTTACAGTGAAACATGTGGGTATTTAGATAAGGGTAAAGAGGATTCTGTGTCATATATGGATTTGGAAAAGGCACATGATAGGGTGGATAGGGGGCAGTGTGGCAGATTCTGCAAATGTAAGGAATAGGAGGTAGATTATTGAAAGCAGTAAAGAGTTTTTATGAGGATAGTGAGGCTCAGGTTAGAGTATGTAGGAGAGTGGGGGGATTATTTCCCAATAAAAGTAGGCCTTAGACAAAGATGTGTGATGTCAGCATGGTTGTTCAATATATTTATAGATGGAGTTGTAAGAGAAGTGAATGCTTGGGTGTTGTCAAGAGGTGTGGGGTTAAAAGATAAAGAATCTAACACACAGTGGGAGTTGTAATAGTAGCTCTTTGCTGATGACACTGTGCTTTTGGGAGATTCTGAAGAGAAGTTGCAGAGGTTGGTAGGGTATGTAAAAGAAGGAAATTAAAAGTGAACATTAAAAAGAGTAAGGTGATGAGGATAAAGAAATTAGGTAATGAAAGATTGGATATCAGATTGGAGGGAGAGAGTATGGAGGAGGTGAATGTTTTTAGATATTTGAGAGTGGACATGTCAGCAGATGGGTCTATGAAAGATGAGATAAATCATAAAATTGGTGAGGGGAAAAAGGTGAGTGGTGCACTGAGGAGTCTGTGGAGATGACAAAGAGGGGAATGTATGAGAATATAGTTATATTAGCGCTCTTATTTGGGTGTGAAGCATGGGTGGTGAATGTTGTAACAAGGAGAAGGCTGGAGGGAGTGGAGATGTCATGTCTGAGGGCAATGTGTGGTTTAAATATAATGCAGAGAATCCATAGTTTGGAGATTAGGAGGAGGTGCAAGATTACAAAAACTGTTATCCAGAGGGTTAAGGAGGGGTTATTGAGGTGGTTCGAAAATGTAGAAAGGGTGGAGCGAAATGTAATGACTTCAAGAGTGTAGAAATCTCTGGTGGAGGGAAGGTGGAGTAGGGGTCAGCTAAGGAAAGTTTGGAGGGAGAGGGTAAAGGAAGTTTTGGAGGCTTTGACTTCCAGCAAGCATGTGTGAGCATGTCAGATAGGAGTGAATGGAGACAAATGATTTTTAGGACTTGACTTGCTGTTGGAGTGTGAGCAAGGTAACATTTACGAAAAGATTCAGGGAAACCAGCAGGCCGGACTTGAGTCCTGAAGATGGGAAGTACAGTGCCTACACTGAAGGAGGGGTGTTAATGTTGCAGTTTTATAACTGTAGTGTGATCTCGCCTCTGGCAAGACAGTGATGGAGTGAATGATGGTGGAAGTTTTTTTTTCAGGCCACCCTACCTTGGTGGGGATCTGCTGATGTGTTCATAATAAAAAGGTAAAAAAAAAAATATTCCTTATTTGAATTTTGATTTCTAATAAATGAATTACTTTTACAGCTTGTTCAGTGAGCTTGGTTACAGCGGTGATGACTTCCATGCTTTCCTTGGTTAAGACATTCAAGAAGCAGTGACGTCTTCCTTGGTTAAGACCTTCAAGAAGCAGTGAGAACTACCTTGGTTAAGACATGTCCAAAACGCAGTGAAGTCTTCCCTCAGAAACTCTTGTGTAAAGCCTCAGGAAGTAACAACAAAGCCACATGCTGGATTGAAAACTCTAAACAGTATTCCACCATAGACCATTATCAATTTGCACATTGCTTAACAGGGTTCCTCAAAGAACCAGAACATTGTCTAGGGTTCAGTCAAAGTTTGGATCTGGCCTCTACTATTATTAGCTCACTGAAATCTTGTTCCCTGAAGGACTAAAATGTTGTCTAAATTTTTCTTTTAAAATCCTGGGTAGTAATTTTTTTTCCATCAGTCCCATTCTGTGCTTCCTCAAGAAGTTGTACCATGTGAACAAGGTGAATGCTGATAAGGGTAACCACTAGGTGGACCTCATATATACATACATTTTATATATACATAGCCTTTCCTCACATAGCGATGACTCGGACTTTCAGCAGGCTCTTTGACCAATATGCATACCTAAATAATGTATATTGGAGCTGATGTCATCTATTCTGTTTATTATAATATACAGTACACTACTGTATAAACACTTAAAATATACTAAAAATGTTATAAATGGTGCAAAGATGACATTAAAACAATATCAAAGATGGTTGACCCAAACCCACTACTATTATAGTATGCTCATTGCTTAGCGACGAATTCATTCACCGATGTGGTCTTAGGAATGCAACTCCATTCGTTGTGCAAGAAAGGTATAAAATACCGACAATATGAAAGTTAAGATACATGTGCAACATCTGGATATCTTTTTTGTAGACGTTTCGCCATCCAGTGGCTTTATCAATACAGATTCTAGGACATAATTGGAAGACAGTAGAACTATGTACAAAAGATGAGGTAATCAGTCCCTAAAGGTTGAGGGACTGATTACCTCATCTTTTGTATATAGATCTACTGTCTTCCAATTATGTCCTAGAATCTGTATTGATAAAGCCACTGGATGGCAAAACGTCTACAATAAAGATATCCAGATGTTGTACATGTGTCTTAACTTTCAACTTCATTCGTTAAGTGAGGAGAGGCTGTGTAGATATACATGTATATATATATATATATATATATATATAATATATATATATATATATATATATAATATATATATATATATATATATATATATATATATATATATATATATATATATATATATACAGTGGACCCCCGCATACCGTTGGCATCACATACTGTTTATTCCGCATACCGCTCACTTTAATCGCAAAAATTTTTGCCTCGCATACCGCTCAAAAACCCGCTCACCGCTGTTCGTCCGAGACGCGTCCAATGTGCACCTTAGCCAGCCTCACAAGTTCCGCCGGTGGCATTGTTTACCAGCCAGCCTCCGCGTAGCATCCAAGCATACAATCGTAACATTTCGTATTATACAGTGTTTTTGGTGATTTTATCTGGAAAATAAGTGACCATGGGCCCCAAGAAAGCTTCTAGTACCAACCCTACAGCAATAAGGGTGAGAATTACTATAGAGATGAAGAAAAAGATCATTGATAAGTATGAAAGTGGAGTGCGTGTCTCCGAGCTGGCCAGGTTGTATAATGAACCCCAATCAACCATCGCTACTATTGGTGGTACAGCTGCTGCTGCTGCTGCACTGTCAGCTGCTGCTGCTGCTGTAGCATCGTCTGCTGCTGCTGTAGCATCATCTGCTGCTGCTGTAGCATCGTCTGCTGCTGCTGTAGCACTGTCAGCTGCTGCTGCTGCTGTAGCATCGTCTGCTGCTGCTGTAGCATCGTCTGCTGCTGCTGTAGCATCGTCTGCTGCTGCTGTAGCACTGTCAGCTGCTGCTGCTGCTGTAGCATCGTCTGCTGCTGCTGTAGCATCGTCTGCTGCTGCTGTAGCATCGTCTGCTGCTGCTGCTGCTGTAGCATCGTCTCCTGCTGCTGTAGCATCGTCTGCTGCTGCTGTAGCATCGTCTGCTGCTGCTGTAGCATTGTCAACTGCTGCTGCTGCTGTAGCATCGTCTGCTGCTGCTGCTGTAGCATCATCTGCTGCTGCTGTAGCATCATCTGCTGCTGCTGTAGCACCGTCTGCTGCTGCTGTACATCGTCTGCTGCTGCTGTAGCATCGTCTGCTGCTGCTGTAGCATTGTCTGCTGCTGCTGTAGCATCGTCTGCTGCTGCTGTAGCACTGTCAGCTGCTGCTACTGCTGTAGCATCGTCTGCTGCTGCTGTAGCATCGTCTGCTGCTGCTGCTGCTGTAGCATCGTCTGCTGCTGCTGTAGCATCGTCTGCTGCTGCTGTAGCATTGTCTGCTGCTGCTGTAGCATCGTCTGCTGCTGCTGCTGTAGCATCGTCTGCTGCTGCTGCTGTAGCATCGTCTGCTGCTGCTGTAGCATCATCTGCTGCTGCTGTAGCACCGTCTGCTGCTGCTGTAGCATCGTCTGCTGCTGCTGTAGCATCGTCTGCTGCTGCTGTAGCATCGTCTGCTGCTGCTGTAGCATCGTCTGCTGCTGCTGTAGCACTGTCAGCTGCTGCTGCTGCTGTAGCATCGTCTGCTGCTGCTGTAGCATCGTCTGCTGCTGCTGCTGCTGTAGCATCGTCTCCTGCTGCTGTAGCATCGTCTGCTGCTGCTGTAGCATTGTCTGCTGCTGCTGTAGCATCGTCTGCTGCTGCTGCTGTAGCATCGTCTGCTGCTGCTGTAGCATCATCTGCTGCTGCTGTAGCACCGTCTGCTGCTGCTGTAGCATCGTCTGCTGCTGCTGTAGCATCGTCTGCTGCTGCTGTAGCATTGTCTGCTGCTGCTGTAGCACTGTTGTTGGTGTGGCTTATTGAGAATATACCAAGAAACAATTAACCCCAGAGGATTTTCCACCCAGGATAACCCAAAAAAGTCAGTGTCATCGAAGACTGTCTAACTTATTCCATTGGGGTCCTTAATCTTGTCTCCCAGGATGCAACCCACACCAGTCGACTAACACCCAGGTGAACAGGGAAAAATGCCTGGAACTAGTGCTCATATTCATGAATTTAAAGCCAGCAAAGGTTGGTTTGAGAGATTTAAGAATCGTAGTGACATACACAGTGTGATAAGGCCTGTTCTGGAAGAAAATGCCAAACAGGACCTACAGTACTCAGGAGGAAATGGCACTCCCAGGACACAGTGTCTCATCAGTCATTGCTGCATCTTCAATAAAGGTAAGTGTCATTTATTCTTCATTTAGTAGAGTAGTACATGCACAATATATATTGTGCATGTACTACTCTACTATTGTGCATGTATCCTTCTCTTTGTGTGTAGGAAAATGTATATTTCATGTGGTAAAATTTTTTTTTTCATACTTTTGGGTGTCTTGCACGGATTAATTTGATTTCCATTATTTCTTATGGGGAAAATTCATTCGCATACCGATTATTTCGCATACCAATGAGCCCTCTTGCACGGATTAAAATTGGTATGTGGGGGTCCACTGTATATATATATTATATATCTATATATATATATATCTATATATATATATATATCTCTATATATATATATATATATATATATATATATATAATATATATATATATATATATATATATATATATATATAATATATGAGCAAGGAGCTAGTAACCCCTTCTCCTGTATATATTACTAAATGTAAAAGGAGAAACTTTCGTTTTTCCTTTTGGGCCACCCCGCCTCGGTGGGATACGGCCAGTTTGTTGAAAGAAGATATACAGGAAGGCCCCGCTTTATGGCGTTTCACTTTACGGCATTCCGCTAATACGGACATTTCAAATTATGACCAAAACTCGCTATACGGCTCCCCCCACCTGACTTTCTAATACGGTCACCGTGCCCCACCCTGTTTGTTTACATTCTCCATGAGCTCAGTAAGCACTAAGTCTCTCCATTTTGTCTGGAAACTCCAAAATTTCAAATGTTTTTAAAAGTTATTTCATATTTTATATATACTCTGATAATTATACTTATGTATACCTGTACCTAAATAAACTTACATACTGTGCTGGCATGCAGCTACATATTAAAATTTGTAAGTGTCTTATGTCTCCAGACGTCATATTAGTAATGATAATAATAATCATCGAGTCATTTAAATGTCGTATATTACGTTAATATACACATTTTCATTAATCCATCCATGATATTTTTTTCAAAATTATATAATAAACACGATGCATAACATATAAATAAGAAAATACACCCCACAGTAGAATAAATAAACATAAATGTGAGATGTGGTAGCAGACGACTTGCACAAGTGATGCCATATTAGAAATGATAATAATAACAATACTCACCGAGTCTCATTAAATGTCGTATATTACGTTAATATACACATTTTCATTAATCCATCCATGATATTTTTTTCCAAATTATATAATAAACACGATACATAACATAAAAAGATGATAAATACACCCTACAATATAATAAATAAACATAAATATAAGATGTGGGAGCCACATAACTTGTACAAGTGACGGCAAGAATAACATTTTCTCTAATCTAACATAAGAGAAAATGTGTTACTGGGGGTAACTATAGAAAATTATTCCTTTCGTATGTATGTAAGTAAGTTTATTCAGGTATACACAAATACAGTTACATAGATTATCATACATAACAACATACGTGCAGAGAACCTAGGATAACCCAAAAAAGTCAGTGTGACTTATTTCCATTGCCTTCACTCAGAGCTTCAGTTCTTCTCAAAATGATGTTACATGAGAATGGGAGTGTTCTTCTTTATTAATTCTACCGTATCAATGTAGAGACAACCTGTACACAATGTAACTTGTACACAAACCAGACGTGTACACTTCGTTTGTTTACAAAACTTACGTTCGCCTGGTTTGTTTACATAACTCTGCGCCTGTCCCCTCTCATGTACTCATTCTTTCTCTCTCTCATTTATTCGTTTTATCTCATTTACTTACTCCTGACCCTACATTAAGACTACAAATATTTTAAGGTAAGTAATGAGTGAACTGTATATACATTTTATCGCTCTGGGATGCTTAAATATCATAGAATAGTATGTGTGGGTGGGGTGGCCTGGTAAGGTAGCCTGGCTATTACCATACATACCACACTTGATTTCTTACAATAAATACTACTTGTCTCACCCTAGATTAACCCTTTGAGGGTTTTCGTCGTACTAGTACATCTTACGCGTAGGGGTTTTTGACGTACTAGTACTCATAAATTCTAGCGGCCTCAAATCTAGTGGGAGAAAGCTGGTAGGCCTTCATATGAAAGAATGGGTCTATGTGGTCA